TAATTAACCATGTTAACAGTGAAATGTCTTGAATTACCACGAATTTCTTAATCTTTGAAACAAAATTTCACAAAAAATGACCAGATGAATGCAAACTGATTTTTCTTGAAAAAACAAGTGCAAATATTTCATGTACTTGTAAGATTTGTACAACTTTATATATATATACTGAAGCAGGATTTGTTTACTTTTTCAAAGCATCTGAGACCACCAGCTGTTTATAGTAGGGATCGGTTTTCAGTGAACTGTTTTTTATTTCTTGTATTCAATTTTTTTTGGCCATGATATTGAAGCTTTTCTTTGACTTGACTACCGTGCTCTGATTTCCTGAAAATGCTAAAAATGCTAAGCATTGAACATTACTCAAAAAAATCACAATAGCATAAGAAGGCATAGTTTCTCTATCGATTAAGTACTACACAATTCAGTAACTGTCAGCAATCAAAGATACGGTACCGGTACTGTTTAGTATGAGAATAGTTGAATTATATAAAAACGCCCTGTTAATGTATACCTCTTTATATAACAACAGTTAACGCCATGAAGAACAAAGGAAAAGTAAGTACCATTCCAGTTACATTATACATTTTCATTTTGTGTAGGTGTTTAATTAACATCTGTGTGAAACACAAATGTTATTTTGCTAAAACAAGTGGGAGTTTTAGCTAGCTACAAAACCATGTTTAAAACCCATTTTCTTCGGGAAATGTCTGTACCATGTCAGGAATATCACAGTTGTTTTTCACTCCTTCATTTGGTTGATGACGTTTGATTTTGTCAGTTTTTGCAGTCTCCCCTTTTTGAATTTACCTAGCAGTTCGGTATTTTTTTTACATTTTTTTGAATGTGTACGACTTCTTGACAAATTCATATCAAACAACCATTTAAAACGTTTTAAAAATTGATATAACAACACCAGTTTTACTGACGAAGTCTTGCTTCCTTCAGACACCCCGTACATTTGTGCTATAAAATTGGTACCGTTTAAAATATTATAACTTCGGTGAACAGATTGACTTTATCATCCATTTCATTTATCAATTGAATTTACATATTTGAATTTGAAAGGATTGAAGAATTTTGTTATTTTTGCAGTTTCAAGTGCAATATTAACTCCTACAATTCCTCATGCTATGTATAATTTTGGTACGATTTTATACGTAAACACTCTAGTTTTACAAAGTTTCGTCTATACATATAATAATATGCACGATTTCATTTTTTACATTCATATTGTATCATTAGCAATAGAGCATGTAAAATTAATGTGGCAATTATGAAGCCGATTCAAATCGAGATGTAATTTATAACAATTTGCATGAACCTCGAAGGAAATAAATCCTACATGTTTTTTTTTTTCTGGCAGGATTGGAATTTTCATAATGTAATCGAATTTATTTGATATTTACGTACCAATTGACACCACAATTTTTTGTGTATTTTCATGCATTCATTTTGTTCAACTTCATTACTTGAGTTTCCCTTCCTACTGAATTTGCTCTTTTTCGGATTAACATTATGTAAGAAGCTTCAGAGTAAAAAAAAGGATATTAAGAGATAGCAATATTGGGAGGAATATTACCAAATAGAACCTGGAGATACAAAACTATCTAATATCATGTGGGAGTTGTTGTTGCATATCTAAATACACTACAAACCTTTCAAGACAAGTTCAGCAACTTGTAATCAAATGTGTTTTAACATATTGTTTTCTGTAGATACATCACAAAATACTGGTGTTACTTCCGAAAAAACGTGCCCTACCTATTCAAAAACATGTTTCAGTAAAAATGTAATGCTAACATGCGATTATGCAGTGCTATGATAAGGTTATGAGAAATAATAGTTCAATGCTTGTTAAATTGTAATTTGTGTCCTGTCCCGCGTTACATTATGCATGATGCTGTTCGACATTAAATATATGTAGCGGGTTCCTTTTCCATAAAACTTCACCCCCGTTCATGAACGTCATAACGCAATATCCGTTTTCTTTTCAAAACCTGTTGGAGTCGAAAACAAAACCAATACCGTGTCTGCATGTAATTGATTGAGATTGCATGTATACCGGAGTATATCTAATCATTTCCCTTCATACAAGGCAAGAAAACTTTGATGAAAATACTCCTTGTAAAATTAGTGTTGTAAGATTTAAAACTATCGACAAACAGGATGTGGCTGCACAGTGGATGTAAAATGTGCTTTCTCGCTACAGCTCAGCATTATCATGCTGCGGACCAAATATTAAACCAATCCTCTTCATAGAAGATAAAAAAACTTTGACGAATATTTTCATTATATATACAATGAGTGTTTAAAAATTTCAAACTATGGGCAAACAGGAAGTGGCTATATGGCGGATATAAAAACTGTTTACTCGCTACATCTCAACATTTTCAAGCTACAGACCAAATAATTAATCATTCCCTTTCATAAAAGCCTAGAAAACTTTGACGAAAGTTTCCTACCAATGTTTTACGGACGGACGGAGTCGAGCGCTTACTAGACCTGCTTAGGTGAAAATGGGAAAAGTGTGACGCATCATGAGGTATGTCCAGTATCAGTTAAATGTTGCGAAATTTAACGTTAATATATCAGATTTAATGATGAAAATGCTATTTAGAAAGTTTTCACAAGTATGATGTTTTTATACCAAAGAGGGTATATTTCCTGTAATTTTTCAAACCTTAAAAATTCAAGTGAAATTAGTGTTTCGATATTTGTATGAAATACATATAGATGTCCAAAGAATTGTCCCCTTAACACAAAAAATTACGTTGCTGTGTTAAATGTGTATTCTCAGTGCCAGAAAACTCGCATTCCACAAGGTTTATGATTCAAATTCGCATAAGACTTGAAAAGTAAAAATACTGTAGTACATTGACACATGGATGTTGACTTTGCGCTACATAATAAAAAAAGATATGAAAAAACAGTTGTGTCCTATACAATGTCCAATAATATTTAAATTTTCCAACATAGCAAGTTATATGTTGATATGCATATTAGAGATTAACATTACCTTTCGGATTTGGAATCCGAATGAGAATAAGACTACACATCCTACAGATGAACTATAGGGGTATTTTCAAAATAATTTGTAACGCTTGTTATTATAACCGTGCTCAATTTCTGTATCGGAATGGATATGACTTTTCAATCTAAATGAATGTGTGATATTTCGTCTGGTTTTGGGAAGCATTATTTCGTCAGCATCTGCAAACAGATTTTTCAGTATTTTGCAACTTTCGTATGTCAAAAACCTACAACCATATTTTTTACTTTTTTATCTCAGTTATTCATCGTTCAATCTGCATAAAAAACAACACTATTGCAACAATAACAATAAACAACACTTTCAGGTTTAAAGGTCCTTTTCAAATTTGTGTTTGTTTGATGCATGAAAAGGGGGTGTTAGGATATTGTTGTTCACGCAGCCGGCATGTTATTTTATCACTTTTATTAAGAAGGGAGGAATTATACACTATCCTGGAAGACTGAATATATATTTCGATTTAAGTAATTGCCAATTGTGTCAATCCCTGTAAGGAGTTTAGAACATCCCTTTTCTAGCTGCTAGTGAACTGCAATGCGTCTTTCTGTTCGGATTGATTTCAATGGGAAAAAACTAAATCAAGTAAATCAGGAACGCTTCGTGGAATCGGCCATGGGACTCATTTTGAAAATCCAATCAGCATGTTTTTTTAAATTCTGTAACACTGTAAAAAATATTCCAGTGATCATTCTTGTTAATCTATATATATTCAAACTGGGTGAATATATTAGATATGAAAAAAGTATTTTACATATCGCTCATAAAGTTCAATTTCTACTTTGAACCTTCTGATAAGACATCTTCAAATATCTGTCAGAGGACCACTTGATGCTCCTTTTTTACAACAAGACAATTCAATAAGATATATGAAATATAAACCAATTTGTACTTTTGATTCACAATTAAAGTGAAAGGATGTCAGATTATAACACCCATACCAAGTTCCAAATGTCAACACAATTTCCGGAGAAAGGTTTAAATTAGCAGCAATTCCATCAAAACTTCGGTTGACCTCCTCAAAAACTTTCACCTGATTATTAGAGTTAATTGACATTTCACCGATAAACCGACTTGATTCATATTTTAGTTTAAATTTTGCATACATGATCATAGTATACTTAGTCTAGTAGTTGTTATAGTACTCTGTGTTTTCAGTCTTTTTTTTAATTGTTATTTTGTGTCCATTATTTTGTATGTGATAACTCAGACCATTAGTTTTCTAGTTTGAATTGTTTTACATTTGTTATGCCCTTTATAGCTTGATATGCGATATAGGTTTTGCTGATTGTTGAAGGCTGTACGTTGACCCAAAGTTGCTAATTTTTACGTTTTTTGGTCTCGGTTGGATAGTTGTCTCATTGGCAATGATACCACATCTTTTTATTTTATATTATACATTATACTTCATGTTCTTGTGATCGACTTTGTTAGTACGTTATTCGATGTCCGCGTATAAACAGATGAGAGAAATTAGTTTCTGTGATAGTATTTAATGAAAAGAACATACCTTTAGACTATCAAAGCCGCCTGATTAGGCTCATGTAACATTGATCAGAGTCTGGATGAGTTATCTTCATTTCTGTGTTCTTTAATAAATTAGGCCATTTTTTTTCTATTCTTTATTTATTTTGCCCCTTATTGTTATTCTTTATAGTTAAGCACCCCATTTTTCTCTTTTCTTTATTTTTTGTCTCATTTTTTCTGTATTCTTGGCTCATTATTATCCATTCTGTAAACCCCATCCAGACCTCATAGATCTGTTAATTTTTTTTTCTAGCTTTCTTGTTGTTGTCAGTGCGGTGTAAGGGGTATACTTGCAATAATTCGGAATATTCATGCTTTTACAGAAGATCGAGTGTAAAGTAATGATTAAAACCATGACAGGTACAAAGAAATCATAATAACAAGCATAAAAAATTCTTAGATATAGGTAAAATAAAAAGCAAACTGTTAATAATATATTTTAATCAAAATATACAATATCCTCTTATCAACAGACAAATTTTTTGATTATTTTTTGATTATTTTTTTTAGATTACTTTTGTTTAGTTAGTTTTCAGAAGCTGCTGACTGCATTGATATGCAGTTTTAGGGGCCTCGCTGGCTAATTATTTTATCTACAGTTTTCATAAGCCTGTCAAATCTACGGTTGAGAGTTCGAATCCGGCACATGGCGAATTTTGTTCTATTCTGATTTTAATTCAAAAGGGTTGCCTTTTTTCCCTGCCGAAGGTTTGTGGTTCTCTTCGGTTATTCTGGCTTCCTAAATCATTAAAAAAACTAAAACGCATGATGCCAAGGTATCTGAAAGTGGCGTAAAACATATAGTGTAGTGCACACTTAATTCTTATTTTTTGGCCAACGTCATGCAATTATTTAAACTCTTTTTGTTGGTGAGATTGAAAAGAGTTTGTTACCGAAACTGAAGTACACCGTAATGATCGTTGTCAAATTTTTTGCATCCATGATTATATACATCTCTTATGTCCGATGTTTTTATATTCAATCTCTTTCTGTCAATCATTTCTAGCAGACAGTTAAACTTTCTCCTTCCTTTTGCATATCTACCTCCGGTCCATTTTGTACTAGATCTTTTTTCATCCCAACTTCCCCCACCACAATCAACAAATTTCGGTATTGGGAATGCTTGATCAAATGATATAAGAGTTACATTTTGAAGAGCTTCATTTTTTATGGTTGATTCTTGGTGGGTTATAAAAAGTGTACGGTCTGCATGATCTAAAACAGTAATATAAAGATATATTATATAATATAATCGATTCATTCAAAGCGTATAAACTATACTGCATTTTTTATGAAATACATTTTTGCTCTACACACGATTGATATTACATAATTCTACATTTGTCCTTGACAATACACAATACTTTTTGTAATTGTATATGCACATAGGGCATACAGTACAAACATATGTTGACGATGTGTTCGTAAGATTAAAGCACTACTACAACATTAAAGCAACTGTGGAGATGATGAAGTATAAGAAAAAAAAATCAGAAACGAAAATTAGAGAAGAGAGAGAGAGATACTAGAGTAAGAGAAAGAGAGAGGAAGAACAAAATTCAGAGGGTAATCGTAAATTCTTAAAAACAAAACAAGGACAGATGCTTAAAATAATAAGTTACAAAACAAACAATGGGGTACAATGGGAGACAAATAATCGAATAATTATTTTAAGAAATGTTGAAAGCGTGCAAATTAGAAAAGAGAACACTTATTTTGTGTGGACCAACATCAAGTTGCTTTGCGTTAGTATATAATTTCTGTTTCTCCATTTTTTTTACTGTTTGAAGCCCCTTGCAAGGAAATTTTTTTGTCCATACCCCCTTTCCAGTGACAATTTTGATTTCTGTCTCTTTTCGGGTAAATACTTTACAGAACCTGTACGTCTGTTTTAATGATCATTATTTATTTGTTCTCGTTCTGTATGTGTATAAATAATTGCTACACAAAGGGATATGATACAAGTTAAAAAGCAATTAATCGAAAGTATACTTGCTGTAGGGTATCAATTTTCATGGATTGTGGTTCCCTTCAACCACGCCAAATGTATTACGAAACGAAATACATAGTTTCTATTCAGTCCAAAATACTCACCAAAGATACCTTATAATTTGTCTCGCCAGGCGAGCGTTTCGTCTATATATAAATAATACTCATTAGTGACGCTCGAAACAAAACATTTAGAAGGCCAAATCAAACACGAAGTTGAAGAGCATTGAAAACCAAAAATACAGAAAATTCCACATGAGTCGAATTTAAACCACCAAGAAAACAAACATTTTCAAAAGAAACGAAATTTCATACCCAATATAAGTTGTATAACTCTGCCACTTATGTATGTTCCTGTCCCAAGTCAGCGGCTCTTTTCACAACAAATCTTAAGAGTAAAAATACTCGTAAGTCATACACATTTCAGTATAACTTACGATCAATTTTAATCGTAAGATTTTTTGTGAAAAGAGTCGCAGGAGCTTGTAATTCAGTAGTTGCCGTTTTTTGTTGTATGTCATAATCTTTCGTTATAGTTTTGTACATACATCAGGCCGTTAGATTTCTCGTTTGAAATGTTTCACATTTGTCATTTCAGGGTATTTTATAGCTTACTACGCGGTATGGGCTTTGCTCATTGTCGAAGACCGTATGGTGACCCATAGTTGTTAACTTCTCAGTCATTTGTTCTCTGGTTGAGAGTTGTCTCATTGGCAATCATACCACATTTTCTTATTTTTACAGAGGATGACATTGAGGTCATTCCGATGTATTGCTATCGCCTAAATTTCCATTATGCAAATTAGTTTTGGGATTTCAACCGATCTATAAAAATTATAGATCCGCGGTCATTACAAGGGAAAAAAGTGCATTTTTATACCTGCGATTCCGTTCTCCGCTCGTACGATGTTTCATAAAAAAATGGAATCATTTCAGTTGTTGATTTAGTACTGAAAATTTGACTGAATTATCTCCTTATTAAATACGGTTTTATATGTTTAATAGGTGTTTAAGAAAGAGGTCAGGTGCTCATGTTCATTCATAAAATTATCGTTCATTCATGAATTTATCGTAAAATCAAAATCACTACACAGGTCACACAGGTTGTATACGTAGTGTCAAAAGATTACCTGTATAGTATCTAAAAATAGACAAACTTAAATGACTCCCCTTACTGTAGTGTGTGATAACATTTTGTGAGGGAATTCGATGTTTGCTATACCACTGTTCATTTCAACGCACTTTATGACGATACCACTTTATCAATATGAATGAAATTTTTTGCAGTGTTTTAAGAAATAATTTTACTTTAAAATCGCGTATCATTTGTGAACTATTAAATGTTTTACAAGGACGAATTTTCTGTATAAAGTCAATAATTGTGTGAACTTTTGAAGCCCAAACTTTTTATAGCCTTAAATACGCTAATGAAAGATCCGAAAACTATACCCATGCAGAACGACATGTTTTTGAAATTGTAGCAAAACTTTTGGTTGACAAATTTTAATTCTTTATTGCATAAATTTTAACTTGAAATATCTGTCATTTTCTCCCTACCCAGTTTACCTCTATTACTCATTATGATGTGGACTTGACATTGTTATTGAATCTTATGCAATTTGATTGGATTAAGTTATTATTAGATTACCTTCAAACTGTTCATGCTTTTTCGTACGAGTATGTATTAGATACAATACAAAGGTAACAAAGAAACAGGCCGGTAACAAGCGTTGCCGGATAGTTTTTCTGCACGAGTAGTCAGATCAAGGTCCGAGGCGATAGCCGAGGACCTTGACCTGACTACAAGTGCAGAAAAAACTATACGGCAGTTTGTTTCCGGCCTGTTTTTTGTTACCTTTGTTTTGTATCTGACTTGTACGACGTTTCAAGAAAGAAGTAGTACATTTTGCATTTAGAAGAGGTAGCAAAATTAAACAGATTAGAAACTTTAATGACTATATACAAGTTAATGTAAGTTACAGTTTAAACAAACTTTTTTTTCGCTTTCCTTCAGCCGAGAGTTTATTTTTTTCAAGAAATTCAACAATCTAATAATTTTGTAAAAAAGAACCATATCAAGTAAAAGATGAATGTCGTACACATTTGAGACTTTTTTAAATGCAACTTCGCAAGTAAGTAATGTAGGAAAAAGATTTAAGAGGTAAGCAAGCTAACATTTGATTTTTATTTGGGGAAAAACGGAAAGGGGGGGGGGTTAAACATTTAAAATAACAGGCTTGATCCTTTTTTGTTGAAAAAATACAGGATGTGCCATTCCATTCCCCATTCCCCCTTAAGAAAATAATAAAAATCGTCCGTTTGCTCCCAAATATATGAATTCAATATATATGATTTCAATAACAGTATAAATGTATAAAAAGAACGAAGCTCTTATTTCATTAGTGAATGAAATGTTATGATAAAAAAGATTTTGGCTTGTTATTAGATATATATAGGTATATATTTTGGGTTTTTTTTTTTAAATTTTTATGCTTGTAGGTCTCTAATAGTATTGATCAGGATTAAACACGTGTCACAATTATGATCCAATCGCAGCTTACCGTCCAAAATTGGTGACATAAGTTGAAAGATTTTCTTCAAGATTTGCTGCCTATTTGGACGTGTATTACACGGACACTTATTATTAATAGGATCAATCGTGCATTGGTGAGTTGATAGGGATTTTATCTTTTGATTAGATTTGATTTTTTTATATATATTTACTGTCTTTTATATTGAAATATAAACGTCGGTACCAGCATTTCTTTACTTTCAGTATTGTCCAGAATACTATCCATGTCCATATATTGAAAAAATACATTTACGGACCGACCATTTAGCTTCAAAAGGGGTATGTTTTATTTTCTGAGTAAGAAAATTATTTACCTTTTCAACGCTATCACCAAATATTTTTTTCGAAATTAGCACTTTAATATACTGTACTCGGAAAATTAGGAATCAGAACATTATTTTGTCATCTGCTTGACCACACTATATTTTTTCTCATAAAATTGGGGATCAGAATATTTTTTTTGTGAAAAAAACCATAACCCCCCCCTTGTGAAGTTAAATGGTCAATTCCGTAGTGTACTGATATGAATAGTAATATACTGGAATTGTTTGAAAAAAATACAGTTATTTGATGCCAACGTAAATATTTTAATAAAAAAGACAGGAAATATGTCGGTGAAACAAAAAGTTCAAATCTAATCGAAATTTAAAGTGCCCATGAACTCACTGATCATGCACGAGTGATTCTATTCATAAAAAGTGTCCGTGTAACAACTAAAAAGTGTCCGTGTATGTCTAGGTTAGTCTATGGAAAGGTATATACTATGAAATTTAGAGCGAGGGGCTTGCCCCGAGCTCTTAATTTCATAGTATATACCTTTCCATAGACTATCCAATTTAGCACATACTTACAACTCGAGTAATCTTTTAATTGGTCTATTGATAGTTTATTTTGGCTGACTACTTGTATCACAGGTGTTTGTAAAACGGAGCTCATTAACGAATTTTGTAAATCTACTCACTAGTATCATTGTAAAATATGTGATTTCAAAAGGCCCTTCACTCCAGAATGAAAAGATGGTAGCTGCTGGTGTAAGTATGTATACTGATATAAAGCGGTGTTTTACTATACATGTTCTTCTTACAAGGTAAGATGACAAAATAAATTGACCAAAAGCAGGCAATAATTAAATTGCAGTGGAAGCTTTACATGTTTTGAAAACATTTTTTTAATTTCACAGTAAATCTAAAGCTATAATAAATTTGAAACATATAGATAGTTTGTCCCCAAAGATATAGTCTAGCAGATAGGCATTAAAAAGCAACTATAAATAGATCAGAAATTATAGGTTTTGTGTTTTTTTTTTATTAGTTCAAAGTAAAAACAAAGATTTATCAGAATATGTTTATATATATAAATAATATAGGTGGCACATTATCTTCAGACATAATCACAGTTTTTCAATTCATGACATCGTCCTGAACATGCATGAAATATTTGCCACTGGACATTAAGCAACCAATAATCAATAAATCAATCAATTCATGACGAAATAGATCACTTTCCTTAAGAAAGTTTAAAAAATTATCACCAAGGTGCTTTAATTTGCCTTCACAAGGTTTCATAGTACACACTTTTCTGTGTACAAAGTAATTGCATGGACGATACATTATCATAATTTTAAGATATCGTTGTACTCTAATCAAGGTATAAAGAACCATATGTATTACCCTTTATTTAAATGATAAAATTTGCAATTGTCAAAAACATTTTTTAGATCCAAAGATTTTAATAGCAGGATATTTAAAAATCAATGTGAAAACTAATTACAAACTATTTAATTTAATTTGGAACACAGCATTTTATTTCAAAATAGCCAATGGCAATTTTTGTTTTAAATATCTTGATTACGATACAATGAAATCTTACCCTTGTGGTCATTCATGCGTAGTTACTTAGTACACAGGAAAAGTATGTACTATGAAAATTAGAAGGCAAATATAAGCAATTTGATTGGACGAGAAGTTGTAAGTATGTGCTAACATCTATAAAGTGTCCGTGTAACACCCGTTAATGTACTGTTTTTCTATAGCTCTGCTGGGGGCAAAGTCGTACAAATTGATTAAATCAGAGCGTGCATGAATGTGTACAGAAAATTAAATGACCTGCAAACTGGACACTGGACCAGTCCTTATTACGTTTTATCAATGAATAGATTTTTTTTTTATTTCCCAAATTACAGGGCCCATAAAGGGCATAAAATCAGATACAATTGATTTACATAATTGGTAACAACAACAATAATAGCGGCATATAAATAGATATTTAGTGATATAAGCATTGGTCAGAATCAGATGAACGAAACTTAAGGTATGAAAGGTAACAATTGCCACTTTTTATCTTTTCACATAATTTTCCACATACACATTAGATAAATTATTTTTGATAGCCTATTGCGGAGAAAAAAGAGAAAGTTTACTGTATTAACGTTCTATTCCATTAAATACGCCATTTTTCGAAGATAAATGCAGAAAAACATTTATGAACGGCTACGCCAGGTAAAATTGTTGTTTATCCTAAAAAAAAATACAATTTTCAGTTTCATTAGAATATTATAATAATAATAAATCCCAAATTTATGTAGTCATTAGATAAAGTCCTTATATGTCCGATCTGCCTATTTTTGGACATCAAAAGACAATACGATCGTTTTAAGGTCAATTTCGTCTACCTCACACAATCTTGTTAGGCACTATAATGAAATGGACCTGAAATTTATTTCACATGTTTCCTGAAAATTGATAAATATCAAAGCAACATAGAGCTGTTTGTTCTAGTTCGTATAATGACAATTTAATGTCATGTTTGTTTGTGATGACCCCCCTTTTCGGGATTGCATCAGAATTATAGTTATCTCGTATCGCATGAGGATGACACATGTCAACTGAGCAATTATGTTTGGGACTTAGTTTTAAGAAATGATGTCAAAGTAACATTATGAAAATATTTTTAGTAAGCTGAAATATATATTTATTTTTTACATGTTTATGTCTTGTAAGATATTTTATTTCTGTCCCGTTTTTCAACATTTGCGTCTGGAAAGTTGAAATGTTTTAACTGAATGGTTAATTTAAATTAATTATGAAAATGGTTAAAATTAAATCAATAAAGGAAATTATTGCCCAGTTACAAACACTACCAGAGGATAATCCATAATGATTTTTTTTTTCAGTTATATGTTTCAGCACATGTATAATTAACCCTAACTTTAGCCTTGTAAACTTGTTGTCTCCTTGTAAAATATAAAACATATTTAAAATGATTTCCTGCTAAAGTCTTATATTGATATAAAGTTAAAACCGTCTTGCTTCTCACTAGTCAACACTCCTGTCCTGTCAGGTTTAATTCTTATATATATGGATGAAAAATAAAAGTCCACAAAACATTAACATGGCAGCAATTGCTTTTACAGCCTTTAAGACTTTGATTTTTTTTTACAGAAGAGTGTCCACCATGCACTTGCATTACACTATAATAATAGTAGAATAGTATGATATACAAATAGATGAAAATTATATATACATGCAACCGTAATATTAATATAATAAATAACAACAAACCAGTGTATTCTCTGGAACTATTATTATATTAGTATAATAGTCTAAGGTATACTGATTTGTATCACTACAATATAATAGTTATTACGGTGAGGTTGAATTTCCTGTCATTTATTCATCATCCAAGCACGAACTTGTATAAGAAAAAAAATCTTTGTAAATTAACCTCAGTTTCAGGTATAGAGATGTGATCTGTTTCTGTGACATGTGCTTTTGACCATCCACAAGAACCTGCGGTCATCCGATGTTCAGTACTTCAGTACTTCAGTACTTTGATTATATTAAGCGCGCACACATACAAAAGTACAAATTCAATTTACTTACACATAAATGTAACGTGAAGACAAACGGTTTAAGGAAATAAATAAACGAACTCGGGTGGCAATACAATAGAATAGGCTATTATTATATACTAGTACGCAGAAAAAAATCTGTTTGACATGATAACCATACCGTTTACAGTTACAATCGCGGAATTAACCCAATTTAATGATGCGTATTGTGTATTGGAACGGAAACTTGTTTTGTTATTGTCAAATTGCTATAATTTTCAAAACAATTTGCCTGACTTGTTCGTTGAGTTATGACCATTTGATTTTCTGGTGGGGGTTTTAAACATGAATATCCAGCTGGCCTTGTAAGAGCTAAAAATTTAACAAACTTTGCCCAAGACAGGATGAAAATAAAAAAAAAATACAGGAAATTATTGTGTACAAAAGTGAAATTAATTTTCTTGCAGCAAAACCCCGGAAAAAAATTAGCATGTGTAGATCATCAATTGAAAATGAATAGTCAATAAGCAAAAAATCCTCCTACCCAGAAAAATATCAAATGGTCATTTTATTGCTGTAAACAAGACGTACTATAACAGTTTTAAAATATACGATCGTTAAGGATCTCACCTAAATCAGAGTTTTCTTCATGTGATGATTCATCATTACTTTTGTCATCATTCGCTTGCTGGAAAATCGTATAAAAATAATATTTATATTATTACGATAAGAATATGATAAGATTGTAATGACGTCATGCAAAGTTGAAATATTGCATGTGTTTTTGTCTATTTTTCATTTTTTTAACTTGCGATAGTAGTTATAAAAGAGGGTCTGGATGGGGTATACAGAATAGAGAATAATGAGCCAAAACTACGAAAAATTGGTAAAAAATAAAGAATAGACAAAATAGACAAACAAAAATAATTAAGAGAATAAAGAAAAATGTCCAAATTATAAAGAATACAGAAATGAAGATACCCATCAAGACTCTAATTAAACATCTACGATATACCTAGCTAGCTATACCTAGCATATTTAACCAAACGTTAAACGAATAAACACTCCTACAAAACACAATAGATAACTTGGATATGGAAATATGATGGTATCTATTTTTTTCACTGAACCATATTGTAAAAAGGACATACTATCCCTTGTTAAACAAGATGAAAATACATTTTATACCTGACGTTAAGCAATAGTCCTTTAAAAATATTGAAGCATTAAACAGTAATTGTAGTTAAATTGTGACGTTTGTAATTCACACTTTACCATGTATAGCCAAGTTTCGTCTGGACGGAGAACGAAACTAGCATAATTAGGAGAAATCCATAGGATTGAAAGAATGCTTATGAAAATGAAAAAAAACATGCATTGTTCAACAGAAGCTTAAATCTAGTTGAAATACGTTTTTTTGCCTTATTTTGGTGTCATTTGGTATGCATTTTTGAAAAGTGCGCATGTAACATGCAAAAGACTAAAGGTTTTGAACAACAATTACAAGTTTTAAATCATGTAGTTTCAAGAGGCATACAACAGGAAGACCCAAAATACAACCTGAGTATAATGACATAATCTAGAGTCTAACAATTCACCATCGAAATGTATCAACTTCTTATTTGTGATTATAGTTAATTGATTGATTGGTTGTAGTTTGCCTAACGTCCATTTTTTTTGGCAAATATAATAATTTCAAGCATATTCAGGACGAGAACAACTATTATTATTATACTTCATGTCAAAATGCCAGATTTTGATTGGTTAATACGAGAGAGACAATTTACTCTATCCCATGGCAAATACTCTATTACCCTTCACGGAGACGTTTGCTCAAATGTGCGCTTTAATAAATACAGATGATTGCTATGTACAAGACGACATAATTTATTACTTTGAATTTGAAATTTAATAGACAGTAATAACAGAACATTCAGTATAATAGATTAAATAACACATATCTGAGAGAGTGATAGAGCAGATTGTTACCCCTCGAAAAGACATTGTCAACCTTGGCTTCGCCTCAGTTGACAATGTTTTCTCGGGGTAACAATCTGCTCTATCACCCTCTCAGCTATGTGTTATTTATATAATAATACGCCAATAGGTAGGTTCTACAAAGTGAGTCGATAGGGATGTGAGAGTGAAACTTAAATGAGTTTACTTCTACCTCAAGTTTTGGTTTACTTTCTTCGTCATCTACCAATGGATAAACTGTGTCTTTAAGGCAGTTAGATTCTTTCAGATGTAAATCCATTTCTGTTGCAGTCATTTCTAATCCACCATCTTCACAAATAACTGGTCTAAACAGACATTCCTTTGCATGTCTATCAATCGACATGATACTTTCACGAACGTGGCATCCTTGTTTAATGTATGGACAGTGAGTTATACAATTTTGACACTGAGATTTGTGATTTTCTAGTTTAAACGGATCGACTAACTGTCGACAGATATCACATACAATCTTGTAGTTTTTTCTAGGACACAAACGATTATGTAAATTTAAAGCTGACCTGAAAGTAAATATATGAGTATCATTATGTTCTTTTAACTACAAAATGTAGAAGTAATTGTGAACGACACTAAAAGTTCTGTAATATTTGTCATTGTACGTGATATTCGAACTGTAGTTCAGCATCTATAAAGATCTTTGAAAATGAATGGATAATTGTTAACGTAACGAAAGGTAATGAATTTGAACAGACCGTCCTACCAAGTTCGATGTTAAAAAACAAGATGACCAAGTACATGTAACATGTAATCTGAATTTAAACACAACGAGTACTAAGCGTATAATGCGTTATTAATAAAAAAAAAAGTCTGTGTATTGTTGTTGTCTTTGGCAGATAGAAGTTGAGCTCTTACCATTTTTTGGAAGGTCGGAACTGGGGGAGTGGGTAATTGCATATCATATAAAGTTGCACAGTCAGAATTTCGTCTGGTGACATTGTACTAGGGTGTACGTAAAAATTTAAGACCAAGGATTGTTAAATAGAGCTTCATATTACTGTTTTAAATCTACTTGGAAGTACAGAGACCGATAATTGAATGTGAGAAAGCGTGTCTTCTGTGTTAATAAGTTTAGTACTTGTAGATATACGTTATTGTGAGGATTGGGTTTGACAGATAAAATTGTTTATTATTGTTTCCCTTTTACCAGAGTTGGCTCTGTAATACCTTAATCAATACAGAAAGTGTTTTTCCTTGCTTATATATGATCGACTTTTTGTATTCCTCTAATCAGATTAAAGTCTGATACTTTAGGTCGCAAACATTCTTTAATTATGAACAACACTTCAAAATTTTGTTCGTCCGAATTAAAGCGCTCGTCTAGATTTACCTTCCTAAGGAACGTTCAAACCTAAACTTTGAAAGCCAAGGATGTATAAATACGTTGACACAATGGAAGCTATACGACAGGTTACCCTGCATTATGTCAATGTTTTCCCGATTTGGGAACATTGCCTAATTGCTATCATTGTTTGCTCATTGACCATTAATGAATTTGATCCTACTTCGTATCGATACTGTTTAATTATATTTTGACATTGCACAAGGTCATGCGCTTCTTAGACAGTTTATGACGTCTTTACGCCAAATCCGTTGGATGTATACTGATTGATACTTTAGTTTGGGAGAACATGGTATATTTATTAGTTGTTATTGACTTTGAACTAGCTTTCTGTTACTGCGAATACTCTTATATCGGTGCTTTGTGTCTGTTCTTTTTTATGTTAGTTGTTGTTGTGCTTCGTACCAATCTTTTGAGTTAAGACAATTTCAACTGAATTTTACAGTTTGTTCTTATGTTGTGCTGTTACATCACTGTCACAGGATACGGAGGGTTGCGCGCTCAGAAAAATGTTTAACCCCGTCATATTCTTTATGTGCCTGTCCCAAGTCAGGAGCCTGTAGTTCAGTGGATGTCGTTGGTTTATGTCTTTCATATTTGTTTTTGAAATTCGTAGATTGTTTTGTTATAAACTAGGCCGTTAGTTTTCACGTTTAAATTGTTCCGCATTTTTCATGTCGGGGCCTTTAATAGCTGAATGAACGGAATGTTTTTTTTTCTAATTGTTGAAAGCCCTCCGGTGACCTATAATTGCTTATATCCACTTATTTGAACTCTGGTGTATAGCTGTCTCATTGGCTATCATACCACATCGTCTTATTATTATATAGGTATTGATGGCCAAAAAGTTAAAAGTCTCTTATGCTTTCATAACTTGACTATGGAAGATTTAAAATTTAACAATAGTATGGTCTCTTGTCTATGTTGAAGATTTTATTGCTGTCTGGTAAATGTTTCAAAGACATGTATACTTTTCAACTCTTGATACTCATGTTTATACAATTATGTAATCATTCATTTTTGATTTTCAAGTTTAAAAAAAAAATTGTACACCTAGATGTAGGAACCTTGAAATTGCGCCCCCGAGTCACTTGTGAAGGAAGCATGCGGATTTATTTATGGCCGTCTTAAGCCAGGTCAAAATTGATATTTCTTGTCATTGGTTTGGCGCTCTGCTAATAAATAGATTTGCACTCTTTCTGTATTATTTCTTATTTTCGCACTCGGCTCTTATGTATATTAGAGTCTTCGCCTCTTTGTAAACGCTCGTCGTTGGTAACCATATGTTAATGATTAATTATTTGCTGATCAAGTAAAAAGTTTCAAGTGGCAAATAATTCATGCATATTTTAGGACGAGAAGAAATAATAATAAAAACAAACAGCATTGAGGTTATATAAAGTGAACCTACTGGAAAGCCTGGAAACAGCAACACCAATGTTGTTAAGCCTTCGATTCGACTAGTTAAATCGAACCCATGACCCTCACTCAAGGCGAGCACGCTTTTACGAGACCACCGGGGTGGTTCATGGTGACTGAAAGCATCATACCGAAAAAAGATAAAATGTTTGATGAATTGCCAGAATGATAATTCGAGCATTATACTACTTACTTCGCTACTTGCTGATTGCACCTTTTACAGCTAATATTCGAAGTGCAGTCACTTTTGTGACGTTCAAAATCAGTCGCAATTACTTCTTTTTCACAAATGTCACATGTCATTGATCTGTATGGACATTTGTCAATGTGACCGTTGATGGTTATATTAGGTTCTTTAACCCGACATCCATTCTGATTATACTTGCAGTCAACAATACGATATTGACAGTAATTTTTGTGTAGCAGATACTGGTAGCCTTTCATTTGCATTCCGCAACCGGTATTAGGACATGCAACATGTGCCTTCAAACAAACTTTCTCATGTGTAATATTTTCCTTTTTTGATAATTCATGTCGACAACATTCGCATTTTATTTTAATATTGGTACATTTTTCTAAATGTAAATCAGCTTCTTTCCAGGGAACAGTTCCTCCGCAATATCGGCATTTATACACTTTGAATTTACACACGGAAGCGTGTTCCTTCACATTTTCCCTTGTCATCACTTCTTGGCAACCAGATGTTTTATATGGACAGGAAATCAGTCGATGGTGACATATATGAAGATGATCATCAACCAGACGTCTTTTAAGTCGCTTGTCACACCCTTCTGATGGACAATTGACCGTAGAAAACGGACATGATTCTAAATGATTTGCTAATGAATTTTTAGAAGGAGTAAACAAGCACCCCTCATTTGGACATTTGTTTGGTTGATACTTGCATTCTTGTACGTGTTGTGTAAAGAGATGAACATTTTCACCTCTACAAAAGAAACTACATTGTCCATATCTGCAGTGGATAAAACAATGGTGAAGGTTTTTTGAAAATCTCCATGATTGTATTGAGTTAATTAACCTTTTCTTTTTAGCTAATGTGTTATCAGAAACATTCAGCTGCACTTTATCTACAATGTTCTCCGTATTTGTCATTGTCTTTAATCCATACCTATTAATTCTCTGGAACTTAGGTTGTGGATCTGAAAAAAATGAGAATACCCGTATGTATTATATTGTGGCTTAACACTACTCCCAGTTTCATTTGAACAAGGTATTAGTCAATATATACACATATACTTCATGATCAATCATGCTAGCATATATGAACAGACAATGCTTATTATTTGTGCGAAATGACTAATTTAAATATGATATAATGTCATGTAATATATATATATATATTTACATGTATCTATATATAATATATATATGCTCTATCAAAATTTTAAATTTTAAATAATATTCCCCTATAAAAAAAATAATGACCACACAGTGACTGTACATCCTACACGTCGGAAACTTTTATAAATTGGGAAACTGAAGTGTTGTGGTCGGTATTGTCACAATAGAATGTAAAATTAATGTTAAAATCATCTGATCCTTCAAATTTAACAAAAAAGATGAAATTGTTTTAAATATTTGAATGACTAAGTTTTACTATAAAACCCGCTACATAGACCATTTTTTTATAAAGCAAATGCAAATGCTTTATTTAATTCAAATCAGTCTCTAAAAATGTACTGCTTTTGGATTATTGTCTTCCCGTACTCTAATTCGCCGACAGTTTTATCGTGTGCAGTGACCTTAAAAAATACACGTCTCATCAATCGCAAAGCGCATGTTCGTTGGGAAAGCAGTGATAATGGAAGAAAATTAAACTAACGTGGAAGAAAGCTAGTAGTATCTGATTCTGAAAAAAAAATAAAACATCTAAACTGGTTTGACAAAGTTTAATTAACAAATGGGAAAGTATGGAAAATATTAAAAAAATCAACAAATACACATCGCTCAATCATCTCATTTTTACACACGTGATTCATGATTTTATGTTTATTCGGTTTATCTTGATCACGATCGTAAACTTCGGCTCTAAAACTCGACAGTGAATTAGCAGCCAAAGCTTTTGATCAATTATCACCGAATGAAATATTTATTTGTCAATAATACGTTATGGATTTTAAATAAACGTAAAAACAGTGCACAGAGAACTAAGTGTAGTATATATGCATGCATTGGTTCAATAATTTCCTGAACATTACAATCGCCAGAGACTCGTTTCAGATGACTTAAAAAGAGCCTTAACACTGGCAAGATACGTTTATATCTGAACTGAAATGACGAAACCCTTTCGTCACTAGAAGCATACTATAGAAATTATTAAAAACACGAACTGTTGTTTGCTATGCGTCTAGTGGCAAATATTTCATGCATATTCAGGAGTATAAGAATAACATTATTGGTACTATTCTTTCTGCACCAGATGCGTATTCCGATAAAAAAAATCTTCTTCGATCATGCTCGAGGGCGAAATATTTGATAATCCAAAACTTATTAAAAATGAAGTGCTTATAAACCAAAATGGACAAAGAGAAGTTGTTTTTTTCTTTGTATTGGCAAAATGATATCATCAGCCTTTAATTTCACAAAAATGACTTAGTTAGAAAAGACAGGCGAAAGCTACCAAAGGGACATTCAAACTCATAAGTCGAAAATAAACTGACAACGCATGGCAAAAACAAAAAGAGAGCAAGACCAAAAGACAAACAACAAAATACAAAACACAACATAGAAAACTAAAGACTGAACAACACGAACCCCAGCAAAAACAAGGGAATTCTTACTTAATGTGATAAACATATTTAAATATGCCACTTTATTATATCACAACGTAGTTTTACAAATTTAATAATATAATGTCTGTTGATGAGAAGGATATATTCCAACCAGTACAAATCTGTAACCAACGGGTTTTTGTTATGTCGACGCTCAAATTAAAGGTACTAGTATTTACAGTTAATAGACTATGTCACTTATTTTTGTAAAATTTGTCGATCAACTTTCCGTTTGATTGATAGAAAAATAGGTGACGCTATTATTATTTTACATCATTAAAATGGAAATTAATGAATCAACAACCAGAGACATATGTCTCTGCAACAATTTATAAATTTTTAATAAAAAAATCTATGCATTTGTAATTGGAGATTTTATGATTTAAAGTCAAATTTAAGAAGCTTTTCGCCGATTTCATATGCTTTCTATACAAATGTGTATCCACTTTGAAAAAATAAATTCAATAATATTTCAGAAAATAAAACAAATAAAAGCATTATTTGTTTTCAATTTTCAAGTAGACTAATAGTTCAAAGTCGTTTGGGTGCTAATGCGGCGTAAAGCAACCAACAATCAATCAATCAAAGTCGTTTGCAAAATTTAATAAAAAAATCTGTGACATACCCCAAGAACTGCACCTTAACCTTAATGTAGCACAACAGTCTTATTCGGGAAAATTTGGTGTGGTCGTATTTAAATACAATACTGTATAGCTGTAAGGTTGCAAATTATAAATATATTAAGGCAAATAAAGTACCATATTCAACGCGAGATAGACAAGAAGTATTTCCAAAATCGAAATTACCATATTCCAAAATAAGCGTTGTCAGCGTAAGAAATACTAAATATATTTTTGTATTTGATATTGGTTTTTCTTTAATTTCAGGACCTGTTAACATATGAATCTATTTTGTATATTTGCGATTTATAAGGTCATCGGAACGAAAATAGACCCAGCCATTATTCCGTAATAGGGAATAATATTGTAAATCTGATAATGTATCTCTGGTTTATTTACGCAAATAAAATAGCTTGGCTGCTGCAAATATGAAAGTGCTAATTGCGAAAAATATTCAAATTTTCATGACACATAACACCTTTTTAGTATTTCCTTATTTGTAATATGAGCAGTAGTGTGTTTAAACAGTAGATCAATAATTCTTTTTTCTGTAAATACCTTAACTGTCTTTATATATCAGCAGATTACGACGATACAGGAATTTTAACATCAGCTACTTTTACAAAAAAAAAAAAAAAAAAATAGACTGTTGAGCTTACTTAGAATTAATGAGCAGACATATAAATTACATGGAAAACTGTATATTTAGTGAATTAACAGTAGTTGACATACGGGTATGTTCATTTCTTATGGTGTTCTATCTACTGTAACCAAAAGGTGACTGTAATATAGATATTTCACTTGGTTTTATCTTGTTCTTCAATATGGGAACCGTGTTTGTCTCACATGATTGACTCTCCCCACCACCCCTCCCATCTGTTGTTTGTTTACGTGTTTGAGATTTTTAGTAAACTTCCTGAACAATTCAACTTATTTTCCCTTTTTAATGTGTACTTGATCTAATCCATACAATCTTACAATTACAGTAATTTATACGTGCTGATTCTTCTCCTTCTTGATCCATCATGGTAAATACAATAAAGAGGGCAGCACGCCAAACTATTATATTGTAAAACTGTATGAAAAAGAGCAAGGACATATTAAATAAATTTCCCCAAAAAAATTGAACACGAAAAAGGCCAAAGCGCCTGTGGTTTGACTGTGCGGGATGTTTAAATGCGATCACATTTTGAGAGTATAGTGCTCCCTACAAGTTGAAGATACGACTCAAAATGGCACAATTTTCTCTGCCTGTTCAACACTTTCTAACTTTTCGAACTGAAATTCGAAGAAGAATTTATTTCAAAATCATTCTCTTGACATGAATATGACTCTACTATTTGTCACTGGACGTTAGAATTGAATCCATATCAAAGAAACTTAATATAAAATAATACAATTGCTATTTTATAATATGGCATTATTATGCTTTATGCAAATTTCTTTTATCATCCATTCATTTCATTGGATACGCGGCATTTGTTAATTTTCACCAACCTTTCATAAGCCCCGCCCACCCATTGCAACATGAGGTAATATTAGCAACGGGTGTTAAAGCATTAAATTTACACCCGCTGAACCCAAAGTTTGCCGATCCGGAACAATTAACACCCGCTCCGGCCGAGGCTTACCGATTCTTATTCCTACATCATTTCCGTCTTTTTGTTATTGTTATTAGTAAACAATCTTAATTTATGACTTTATTTTTTTACAATTGTCCTTCTTATAACATATTGCACACGTGAATCATAAGGCGTTCAGTATAATAAAAAACATACTTCCCTTGGATGAAGGTGTTAGGGTGATTAACACACTCGGTGAAAATATTATCACCGGCGACTTCGTCTTTGGTGATATTTTTTCCCCTCGTATGTCAATTTACCCTAACAGTACACCTTCATCCAAGGGTAGTATTTATACTACATACTTCATACATGAGTATCTACTGAATTATCAAACATACACCCTTAGTCACCGATAAAATCATGGCATTACATAATCTATTGAGAAATATAACAGACTTACCTGTTATACAGTTAACTACCCGATTAAAAATCAGAGCTCTATTGAAATGACGGTCTCTCCAAGTACTGGTATGTGGTGGCAGTGACGATTTCCAGATATGAATACATTTGAACATTTTTAATGGTAAAGGAATTGGACATTTTTCCATGATCACTGACACAATTCTGTGCCTTCCTTTCGTTTCGATATACTTCATTATCGCGATATTCATCATGGCTTGGCATCCTCCGTCAGTTAGGAAATTGTTTGTGATGAATAGAACTGTTGATTTTGATTGTTCTATTTCATCATCAACCAAGGCTTGTAGCACTGGTTGTCCTATTGTTAGACCAGAATCATTGATCAGACATCCTCGTCTCTTAAAATATTTTAGCACTGGCTCAATAAGAATGGAATCACTTTCACAATAAGAACTGAACATATGGTATCTTTCTATGTCCAGCTGAAGGAACGTCTTGCACCGGTTAGTCATAGTGTAGCACCGTTAATAATCTGGAAGAAATATGGAAAAAACACTATCATGTAATAACGCAGGATTGATCGAAAGCTTTTGTTTTAAATCCGGAGTATTTAACCAGGATATATTGTATTCACATATTCTTTTTTCTCGTGAATTTCAATAGAAAAAAGATAACATAAAAGGACGTTTCATGGGATATGAACTATTTGAGAAAGTCAACAAAGAAAATGATAAACATCGAATAAACGCCACCTGATTTTTTCGTTTTAAAGCTTTATTTTCATATGAAGAGAGCTTTACTTCCTTATTTGAATAAATATTTGAAATGGGCCGGGGGTGATTTGAAAGTTCGTGTATTGATCCTTCTCTATGACCTATTGTAAAAAAGAACTTATTTGGTGCATATTCATTTTTTCAAACCTTCGTCTTGCGACATTGCGAGGTAAGGCCATGTTGTGTTAGAATATTTTTAACAAAGATTTAAATGCGAATTTATCCATTTTTTTGTATTGATACATTTTCGACAACTGTGTTGCCTTGGTTTCCCTGATTTATCTATATATTTTGTGTAATTATATTCAATAATTAACGATTAGTTTATATTTTTCCGGAGTTAACTCTGGACTTCACCTAACAACATTCTATTGTTACCGTAGCCTCAAATCCGTCTTTTGCAAATCAACCTTGCCACGTCACATCACTGGACAAAGGACTGTCGCAGGATGCATTCTTAATCACAATTTGTGGCTAACCACAGCGTGAGTAACATTGGAAATAGTTTAATTGATGCCTTCAAATTGCGCGTGATACATTTATCTGTGCAACACAAGTATAACTTATCTATTTTTACATTGGAAGTATTTTCTTTCTACATTCTGGACTACGCCGTGTCGGAGCATTGAATTGCTACATCCCGGACTACGCCGCTACTCCATACCGGATGAATCATTAACGTTAATAATATTATTTAACACATTGTAAAATTCGACTTTATTTTGTATTTTCAGTTATTTACCATTTTTGGATTGGTGATAGAATAAAAGTCAGCACTTGATTTTTTTTATCTCTTAGTAAACCCAATCACCTGGTTTAAACTGACTGGTCGAGCCAGCACAGTAAATAAGCTACAACTTGCCTGTTGTGTATCACAGAACACTCCACCTTGCGGCAGTGACAACGCCTACAACCAGACGTCGGCTGTGCATTCCTTGACATTGTAAATTGACGACAACCTGTCTACACATATCCAGACAAGGAACTGCAACGTAGCATCGTTACAACAACATTACGCAACACAGCTTGTGTTTACAAGGCAGCAAACCGCCAACGTTTGCAACAGTCTATTTTAATCTTACTATCCGTAAGTTGATTAGAAAACATGGATTCTGATCACGCAGAACGCCAAGATGACCCCGAGCGTCAAGAAACAAAACTCCAAACAGAAGCGGAGCTGAAAATAGATGCTGGACAGACTGTGGACAATCCGTCGAATGTAGAGGAAAATCCCGAGACTAGGCGAGTATGTGACCTCACGGAAAAAGGCCAGGGAGCATTCACAGAAAAACGTGACAAGTTCTATCAGGAACTAGAGGCCCTCTGGTCTGATATAGAATCCCAGTTATTGGAAGTCACCACGCTACCTAACGAGCTCCAGCAACTCTTAACAGCACAGGACAAACTTGTAAAAGCCTGTACTAACTATCGTAGGCTCACAGATGAATACCTGAACTTTCTGAAAAGGACCAGAACATTGGACAGTCTAAAGGACAAAGACGCATGTAATCTCACGTTGGATATTCGACTGTCCAAAGTGGACATGGCAATAGAAACATTGCATGAACATCGCATCGCCCTGACAAAGGCAAAATCCACTAAAACAAAGACCTCAAAGGGTACGAAAACCTCACACAGCGGTAGCTCTAACGTGTCTGACATGCCAAGCCTAGCACGGAGGAAGCGTGTCAAAGCAGAGGCTGCCAAGTCTAAAATAGCCTTTGTCGAACAACATGCCCTGATCCTTCAACAGGAGGCAATGTCAGAGGAACAAGCTCTGATCAGACAAGCTGAAATGGAACAGGAAGCCACACGTAAAAAGGCTGAAATGGAGCAGGAAGCCACACGTAAAAAGGCGGAAATAGAGCAAGAAGTAGCTCAACGTAAAGTTCAGCTAGAACAAGAGGCCATACGCAGGAAGGCTCAAATGCAACAAGAGGCCGCACGAGTAAGCCGGGAAAAGGCCGAGCTGAAGGCCAAAATTAACCTTCTCGAAGCACAAAGAGAAGCTGCAGCCGCAGAAGCAGAGGCTCGTATTCTTGAATACGACGACAGCCAAGCGTTTGGCGATATACCTGACGAGACAGAAGACCCGCTCCAACGGGTGCTAGATTTCGTCAATAAACATCCTGTACCAACTGCCGTACAGGAAGTAACAGGACCTCAAAAGACAAAACAAATTCCTGTTAAAATAGAGCTAAGTCATGAAACACCAGCGTTCGTGCCATCCGTGGCACTGAACCTGCCATCACAGACACCTGCGGTCTTGCCCACACATGCTAAATCACCGGAAGTTAATGTATTCCCAGATCTGGGAACAATAACTGGCATAGGAAAACAGAGCGTTTTAGAAAAGATCCATGTTGCATACCAAAAACTAGGCGTTTCAGAGGAGATCCTTGCTGAACACCAAAAACAGGGTGTTGCAGAAGAGATTCCTGTTGCACACCAGCAATAAATCAACCCTACGTCGGAGATAACCAGATTTCTCCTACGCATGGACCTGCTGTTCTCCCGGCTAACAAGCTTTAATGACCGGGCAGAATCCTTCAATACATGGAAAGCCAGCTTTAAAAACGTCATAGACGAATTACAAGTTTCGGACTCGGAACAGATAGACCTATTGATTAAGTGGCTAGGTCCAGAATCTGCCAAACATGCCATGAGTTTAAGGGCATCAAATGCCAACAAGAGGCATACAGAGGTTATGGCAGAGACTGGATGAGCAATATGGTGCTCCAGAAATGTTGGAGGCCTCTCTCACAAGTAAACTCGTCAACTTTCCTACCTTGACGAACAAAGACAGCGCACGTCTTTATGACTTGTCTGACATTCTATCAGAAATAGAATATCACAAGGAAAATCCCAAGCTGGGATGTTTGCTAGCTTATTTCGACTCTTCGTCCGGGATAAATCCAATTGTGGAAAAACTGCCATACGGACTCCAAGAAAAGTGGATAACAAGGGCTTCAAGATACAAGTCTAAATACGAAGTTGCCTTTCCGCCTTTCACAGAATTCTCTGCCTTCATCAGGGAAATTAAGAACGATCCTGGGTTCATCTTTGGGTCAAAAGTCATACCAAATACAAAAGGTGCTACGCCAAATTTCACAACTCAGACGTATTCTAAAGTCAACGTCCATAAGACAGCACTTGAACAGCAACCTGGAGACAGCAGTGAACAACAAAGTCTTTGCATTTTGCATAATACAAAGCATCCCTTAAACGAATGCCGAGCGTTCCGTACAAAATCTATCGAGGAACGCAAGGATCTGTTAAGACAGAACAATGTTTGCTACAAGTGCTGTGAGTAAACAACACACAGAAGTCGTGATTGCAACGCGAGCATCAGTTGTAACGAGTGTGGAAGTCAACGACACACCACCGCACTACACATAACAAGGGTGCAACCACACACCATTTCTCAAGATAATTCGCCTGGAACAATCTACGGCGGGGAGCAGACAGAGTTAGCTGAAACAAAGTTAACCTCTGTGAGTTCGACCTGCACAGCGATCTACAAGGAACATAAGAGTGAGAAATCTTATGCCAAGATATTACCTGTGGATGTGTACCACAAGGACAGGACAGACAAAATTATTCGGATGTACGCCATCATTGACGACCAAAGCAACCGGTCTCTTACCTCGCCTGAATTCTTCAGACAGTTCGACGTTCTGGAAAAACCGGAAAACTACCCTCTAACAACATGCTCTGGCAGAGTAGCTACTTCTGGGAAGAGAGGAAGAGATTTCGTCATAAAATCTGTACATGGTGACGTACAGTTTGATCTGCCTACATTAATTGAATGTGATAATATTCCCAATAATCGGGACGAAATCCCTACTCCTGAAGTAACAATGCATCATCCTCATTTAAAAGAACTCAGAGGAAGCATTCCACCAATAGAGGAAAAGTGCAAAATTCAACTGTTAATTGGAAGAGACCTTATAGAGGCACACCACGTCCTTGAACAACACCTAGGACCATCCAGAACTCCATTTGCCCAAAAGTTGAAAATTGGTTGGGTCATTATTGGAAATACATATATTGACAAGCAAACTGTTCCACTTGAAGTCAACACGAAGATAACTAACGTTTCATTCACGGAACCAGAACAACCTCTTGCCTCAAGACCGGAAATATCCGCCAAGGACGAGAATCTAATCGCTGGTCAGGATAACGACCAAAACTTTAATTCGAATGTCAAGGTTGAAAAAACGCATTCCATAAAATTTCTTCAGTGTTCTGGACCTAGTACCAAGTCTGGTAGATTTACTAACCTTTCTAAAGGAACAGCACTTGTGTCAACAGAAGCAAAATCTATGACTGCAATAGAAAATTCTATGGATAACGAAAATTTCATTCTGGAATCAGCAAAACCTGAAATTCACGGAGAAAAAATAAGTTGCGTTCAGAAACAAAAACCTATTTCGAAACAAGGACCAATTGCCAATCTCAATCTGCCTTTGAACAAGCAAGGACTACTCCGAGTAGGAAGTAGTATCATCAAGTCTGACTCGAATCTTAGTGAAAAGGAACCAGTGATCTTATCTGGACATCATCACAAAGTAACGCCTTTTGTCAGACATTACTTCGACAAAATCAAATATCGAGATCGTCATATTACAGACAGAACAACTAGATCCGCAGGATTAAACGTTAAAGCGAAACGAGAGACTCACAAATATGTAACTATAGCAAAGTCCGAAGAGGACTTTCTTCGATCGCCGTCTCTCAACGTTGGGAAAAATTGTTCTTACCGTTGCAACAACAACAATGGAAAATGTACACAGATGACTATCCTATCGTCGGATACTTCCTTCTAAAGAATGAGAAACTGTGCATACCCAGTTTCAATTGGAATTTATATATTCTATATTCATATGTGATTTAATCATTATATAGTGATATAAGTCTGATATCAGACGGGGAGTGTGTTGCCTTGGATTCCCTAATTTATCTATATATTTTGTGTAATTATATTCAATAATTAACGATTAGTTTATATTTTTCCGGAGTTAAATCTGGACTTCACCTAACAACATTCTATTGTTACCGTAGCCTCGCATCTGTCTTTTGCAAATCAACATTGTGTTGTTTGTCTTTGTTTGTATGTCTATTGTCCTGTGTTGGTGTGGTCTGTTCAATATATTTGGTAATTTATATTACCCTTTTTTTGTATTAGACTCGTAATAGGTCTACAATTAATCGGTCTAATAGCTGTTTCCAGCAGAGAACATGCCACTATCCCTCAACCTGTCTATGAGTGGCCGTTCATGTCAAAATAGCGATGGTTCCATCTAGATGCATTTTCCATCTAGATACTTCGCATAACCATCTAGATGCTTCGCACAAGTATCTAAATAGTTCGTGTTAGTATCTAGATGCTTCGTTAAAGTATCTAGATGCTTCGTTGAAGTATCTAGATGCTTCGCTGAAGTATCTAGATGCTTCGTTAAAGTATCTAGATGGCCGAAAAGTCTTAAAATCTTTAGTATTCTGTCGTATTCTAACCAATTGAATTTGCGTTTTCTTACTCTACTGATTAACAAATTTCGCGGGATTTTAGAGAGGGAAACACGTAGTTTCTCTCCCCGTGAGCTTTATTCCCCGCACAGCTGATATGTCGAATCTTGAAAGATACCAACAATTGTTGAGAAGAAGCTTAATTAGAATTAGAGAAAGGACAGAGGAAGAAAATGGTGACGATAACGACTTTGTAACAGGGTAATAAATATTTTATTTCATCTCTAGTGTTTTAGCAGACTATTTTCGTTGCCGTAGGATCTATGACTTTGTCAACTCGTACCAGATTATTAATACATGTACCTCGTACTTTTACCAAACCGTACTTCTACAAACTCAAACCTAATTTTTAGATATTATTATAACATGAAGCATAGTAGTTATCTCCGATCGTATAAAATAAAAAAATATCAAATATCAAAACGAACAAATGAAACATCATGAACATGACAACCAAAAGAAATCCCATCCACTTTTAGGGAGCTACCATTTGATTTTTATGGGGGCTAGGATGAAATATTTAGTGACTAAATTTTGTCCTGCATTTTTTTATTAGTTGTAATCTCTGTCCTGCCTTTTTATCTTTCACTCTATTCAGTCCTGTCTTTTTTTATTAGTGTTTCCTGACTTTTTTTACATAAATTGTCATCCTGCCTTTTTTTTTTGGCAAAGTGTCTCATCCTGCCTTTTTTTTTACTCAAAACTCCTGTCCTGTCTACTTTCCCCATAAAAATCAAATGGTAGCTCCCTTACTACAACATGCATGGCATGTATGGGCACATCTTAGAATCAGTAAAACATGCAAAATATTAAGGTATCACAATCTTTTCAGATCTAAAATGGAACACCCACATCAAACAAACAGCCGCTTAAAAGCAAATAAATCTTTATGTTTTATCAGACGAAATCTTAAAGTCCAGTGACATACAATTAAAGAAAGAGCATACCAAACTCTCATAAGACCCAAATTGGATACTGCTGTACTGTATGGGACCCATATTCAAAGGAAAACATACGATCTTTATAAAAAGTACAGAGACGAGCGACAAGGTATGCATGTAACAGACATCACAAGACCAGTAGTGTGTCTGAGATGCTAGACACCATGAAATGGCAAACATTACAAGAACGCTGACTAAGAACAAGGCTAATAATGTTCCACAAAATTATACACGAAAAGATTGCCATTCCATCGCAGAATTTATTACAGCAGAGTCAGTCCAATACAAGATCCACCAATAAAGATGCTTACCGACAAATCCAATGTAACAAAGACAGCTACAAATTTTCCTCAGACATAACAAAAAACACCACTACAGAAACCTTCAATGGTGCACTCACTTACGATGTGCTCCTTGAAACCTATCCACACCTGAGTAATCAGGCAATCATGTTTTTATCTTAAATTAAAAATAAAATAAAAAATGAAATACAAGAAAAAATATTAGAGAAATTTACATGAAAGTGCATGAATTCAAAAGCTGTAATATGATATTACCATAACAACACACATTTTTAAGTATGGAGTATTGTATTATAGTTTTATATTTGTTACCTTAATTTCAAATTGTCAATGATCTGTGGTGTCAGCGAATCTGAAGATCCTAAACGTGCACAGTAATCTATAGTTGATTGTACCTGTCGCAAAAAACGTTCCTTGTCCGATTCGGCCATCTTAAATATTTCTGTTATTACTTTGTTTAGAAAAAACCGCAGAATCATGCAGAAATTTCCATTGTTAAGTGGTTTTTGATTGGTCAGTACAACTCCCAAAAGTATCTAGATACTTAAAAGCAAATTGAAAAGTATTTGTATTCAGTTTAACTATTTCCATCTAGATAGTTAGTCATAGTAACTGGATGCTTCTTTAAACTATCTAGATATTTGTGCGAAGCATCTAGATACTTGTGCGAAGCATCTAGATACTTGTGCGAAGCATCTAGATACTTGTGCGAAGCATCTAGATACTTGTACAAAGCATCTAGATACTTTAACGAAGCATCTAGATACTTGTACGAAGCATCTAGATACTTGTAGGAAACATCTAGATACTTGTGAGAAGCATCTAGATACTTGTAGGAAGCATCTAGGTACTTGTGCGAAGCATCTAGATAACTTGTGAGAACCATCTAGATACTAATTAAAAGTAACTAGATGCTTTCAAGTAGTATCTAGATGGAAAAAGGTATCTAGATAGTTCGCTAAAGTATCTAGATGTATCTTACAACCATCTAGATACTTATACGAAGCATCTAGATACTTGTTGAAAGTATCTAGATGCTTGTTGAAAGTATCTAGATGCTTTCAACAAGTATCTAGATGGAAACACCAACTAGATGAAACCATCGCTATTTTGACATGAACGGCCACTCATACCTGTCAGGTCAGGTATGGTTAGATGAGTTATGGAAGTGACACTCAACATAGTTTGTTAAAATACTATCAGACTTAGTACTGAACGTTTTACTTACGCGTCTGGCGTATCAAATTATAAGCCTGGTACCTTTGATAACTAATTACTTACATTCAACTTGCTTTTATTCCAATTCAAGACATTTCCAAAAGAATATATACATATACTATTTAAACCTTACACAAATCAAAATAGATGTTTAGTAATAAAAACATCAATAAAACTCCCTAAATATAGATGTTTAATAATAGAAACATTAATGAAACTCCCCAAATATTTCACGCTGCAGTAATCAGGTTTTTAAATGTAAAATCCTTCACATATTTTGATTGTTATAGCTACCCACAGGTAGATATGAAGTTATGTTGACATCAACTTATATTTAACTATAGAGCTATATCATGTATATGCGACGCAGAGAATGTAGTTATTATATAATAATGCAGTAGGATGTCACTTGATTATCTTGAGAAGACATATCCTTTCATCATTATACATAATCCGGAGGTCTTGACAACAGAAAAATCGTTTAACATATTAATTTAATTGCTTTATTCGTTTTCTTAGACCGTCTTGTTAATACTAGTAGTACTCTCCCCTCCCCATCGACTTTCTAAATTATTTGCTATGAGACAAAAGACCCGACAACGCCATGACGAAGAACGAAACTCTACAAAAAGACAAACAGTCCATTAACTATAAATAGCGGGTAATTTCAGGCGCTCCGGAAGGGTAAGCAGGCCCTGCTCTCGATAAAGCATCCGTCGTGTTGCTCATGGCATATACCAATTCTGTGTTTCACAATCGAAGCAAAGAGGACGGGATTGTGGCTAAGACAATTGGACCATATCCGTGGTTATCTGTATATAACATAACGATCAACCAAATCATGACCTTTCTACGGGATAAATTAAACTTTATCACTAGGAACCCTTGGTTTAATAGCTTCCTTGAAAGCAGCTATCATCTATCAAGGAAATTGTGATAGGAAACGTAAGCCCTGGTTTATTGTATCAACTGGGAGATATATAAGCAATACGCTGGCACTGTTGGAATGCTGCTACACAGAAATGGAAAGTTCACAACTGGAAAGGTGAAAGCATCTTTTTGTCGTAACATCACATATATAGCGGAACGTGAAGTTAAATGATAACGATAGCTTCTTTTCATTCGTCCTGAGAAAATCTGTTTGAAATATGCATCATATGAACAAAAGAACAAGTCTTTAAGCTTAGACTGTGGAATAAAAGTGCAAATATCAAATGTTTTATATTAAATTGCACGAAGAAAAATACCTAGATTACATGTACTCTAACAGATCTTTGCATTTGTTTAGTACTCATCTGATGTACACCGCCCCTGGAGTAGTTTCTTTTACAAAGGTTACAACAGAAAAACGATTTGAACGAAAAATATAAAAAAAATAATCAAAACAAAAGAACATCCTTGTTTAAAATTGAGGTGATGTGGGTTTTGTTTTGTTCGAGTATAATGCTTGCTTCGTAGATAAGTGACATTTTTGCTTTGCTATTGGTTTTCGTCATTTTTCCTTCGGTTGGGGTTGCCTTGGGAATTAACATATGTTAACTGGTTGTCTTCCTCCCGGCGGTAGAATCCTTGCTAAAGAGGGACGATCAATTGGCTATGCGGGATGTATAAGTACGCAGCCACGTCCGTTCGGATTGGGAGAGTACCATACTCAGTAGGTTAAAAAACATTTTAAAACTGTTTGAAGGGTCTGTATGTGGCCTGTTGCAAGCCAAAGCATGATGAATATGAGTTTAACGTACAGTGGGAACTATAGCGAATATCTGGACGAGAACATGTTAATGTGATATGAAATTGAACCCTTATTTAAACTAGACCAACACGCTGAGTCGGATTTTATACGTGCTAGTCCCCGAGACAACAGTCTGCAGTAGACGTGACATCCTACCCGGAAACATCAGTTTTACCTTGAGCCGACCAGTCTTTACTCTAATCCCTAAATGCCTCGTGATTGGCAGAGAAGCAGTAAATACTAATTTCCACGTTTTCGGTTTGATCCCAGGGATAATGACCCGTACTCGAGACCTACGAGGCGCCTCGGTGAAGGCAGCTTATTCCTTTAAAACAAAAATCAGATAAAAAGAAATTGATAGTTCCTTTTATGATAGTTCAAATATTACGATATAAATTTTCGCGAGAATAATAAATGATTTCTATTCAATACCTTCTTGGTAATATATGCGTGTATATTCAAAGGGACTGGTTGAAAAGGAAAGCATTCGAAAAAGAAACGTTTGCTCTGTAGCCCAATATCTTTGGGGGGAAAAAAGAAAACAAAAACAAATACAAAAACAAAACAAAACAAAACATATACAAACTTACCATCAAAAGCTGCCTTTGTTAGTGCAGATTTAAATGGCATGTGATATTTGTCAATATTGAAGTCCACAAATGTAATATACCTGGTGAAATACTTCCCTTTAAAAGTCAGGGTAAAAACGGATTTAGATTTATTCAGATTTGGGTTAATGTCGAAGAATGATGTAGTTAGATTTTTCAATGGCACCCGAATCGATATCATGCAAACTCTTATTTGACTATTCGGGAACTTTCAGTCTCTTTTAAGACATGATTCTTCATAATAATACTAGTAACTAATATTATAATAGTTATCTGTTGCTTGAGCCCCATATAATGTAAAACTCTATTGTGAACCAAACACGACCCACTTTCTTAAACTTTCTGTCAGTCTTTGACAATGTACCTTCTCTTATATATATTTGATACAAATGAGAACTGGTGCGTTTATTTTCGTTGACTACCAGTTATGGGTCGCATAAAGATGACTCTATGCCTTTAAGAACCTTTTAAGAGCATTCATATGTCGTAGTAGTCGTTACAAGTTGGTCAGGAAGAACGGTGACCTCTTCGTTATTGTTGTCGTCCGGAACATACATGAAATATTTGTCACTGGACTTTAAGCAACCAACAATCAATAAATCGTTATTGTTGTTTTGGTTTGAAGCTCAAATAAGAATGGTTTAGGTTACAAAAAAGGGAGACGATGGCAAGGTTGGAATCAAACATAACAAATCAAATAAAAAACATACAACGGTCAAAAAGAACTAAGCAACACGAACCAAGTAAATAATCTTCAGATACATTGAAGGATTACAAAAAAAAACGGTGAAAAAAACAACAATCTTAATTGACGAAACTCGTATGTTACGGAAGTTACTGGTTCCTGTTCCAATATTTACACCTATCGCGAACATCCTTACTGCCCTTGTACGTCATTGGCGTGTAGGACAGTAACGAAGATTTTACGCTTTTGTCGGTTGTTGGCTCTACAGTTCTTCTCTATGTCATGTTGAGTCTTTCTCCCTTTCTTTTACCTTCTGGTGTCTAGTGGAGTTCTGTCTTAGTGATATCATCCTTATTTTTCCGCAGGACATGTCCAGTCCACCTCCAGCGTCTTCTCATTATACATGTAGTTGTGGCTATATCTGCTTGTTGGCATCTGGTAAGAAGGTTCTGGTTTGAGATTTTTTGTGGCCAAAAGATTCTCAGAATCCTTCTGAGGCTTTTGGTATGGAATACAGACAGTTTGTTTTGGTCGTGATCTGTCATCCCCAACATTCTGATCCATACAAAAGTACAGGCAAGACACAGCTACTGTAAAGTTTGAGTTTGGTCCTAATGCTATATTGCCCAGATCTCCATACAGCTTGCAGGTTGTTAAGAGCAGACCTTGTCTTAGATAGTCGTTTTTATGTCAGATACTGCTCCGCCATTGGTAGATTGGTAGTAACAGTGCTGCCAACGTATGTGAAGGTGTCAACATGTGGTAATGTTTTTCCATCCAGTAAAACTGACCCTGGTGTGTTTACATTTAGCATCATGATTTTAATTTCTTAATGATGATTAACAGCCCCATTTGTCCTGAATATTTTTTGTAGTTCTGTGGTCTTTTCTTTAATATGTTGGTGTGTGTGAGACATTAATGCTAGGTCGTCAGCAAAATCTAGGTCTTCCAAAGTGGTGAAGGTGCTCCATGTAATGCCTCTTGATGTATCAGCAGTTGTCTGTCGCGACGATCATATTAAAATCCGGCAAGTAATTTTATCGCACCGCGGGTAAATTATTACGTTGTGATTGGTTTAACGCCGTCACGTGGTGACCCCCTAAGGATCCGTAGGGGGTTAGTAAATTTCATAGGGGGTTCATGACGTCACGTCTACTGTTAATAGTGACGTCATCTATTAATGTTGTTGTGTTTCATTGTTTATTTTTCTACAAAATACAGCAGAAAAAGTCCCGCGTGCGATAAATTCGTTATACGGTTCACTACTGACCCCCTACGGACCATAGAGGGTGAATAAAATCCATCGGAGATTCGGCCTTCAGCCTCACCCCCTATGGATTTTACTAACCCTCTATGGATCCGTAGGGGGTCAGTAGCAAACCATATAACTTATAATAGTTGGTCATTAGGCTTCATATCGTACATAGCAAATTGGTAAATTTATATTGTAATAATCGAATCTGGAATCAGTCTTTTGATTTTATCTATTTACTGTTAAGTATTCGTTTTTAAATGTTTAAATATCTAGACATTCTATCCAATGCCAATAAGCAATGACACAAAGAAGACACTGCAAATACAAAACTCCACATTAAAAATGAATTGTTCAAATATGTGTGTGTAAAAAATGAAATGCAGCTGAATTTATAAATTGTTTGTTAACTTTTATCACTAAATAAATGGACTATATAATATAAGTAAAGCATTTGATATTAACCTCCTTTCTGCCATAGGGCCGATTTGGCCGATGCAGAAACAGTACCTTTGACTGCCAAGGATCGGCCCAAAGCCGATGTTGTTTTCCGCTGTGACGTTGTTCCTTTACGTCATAGAGAATTTGCAGCGCCCAGCGAAGCCGGCGTGGAAAGAAAATCACCCGTTGTTCAGAGTTCTGCTACCGGGCTCATTGACTTTTCTTTCGATGGAGCCCCATCATGATCCAGCCATCCTTATTATTACATTATTACCCAGAAGTGCATTGTCATTTGATTACATTCACATATTTCTTTCTATTGATTTTTCCAAATAAACGGATATGTTTAAAAGTCGTCCCAGCTCCAATATCTTCATTGTATAAATGCGTCTTTATCATACTCCGGGTGCCTTCGGCTGTTATCTGCTCTTTGGTCGGGTTGTTGTCTCTTTGACATATTCCCCATTTCCTTTCTCAATTTTATGATATAGGAATAAAACAAAACTTTCTTTTATTTTGTTGATGTGCATATGGACCAATGAAGGACTTAAAAAGCATAAATCATTTATCATTCTAATATGACGTCCTTGTTACGCCTTGGAAACAAAGCCGTGTTCTAATT